GCATCAGTATGATTGGGTTAGAAAAGCCCTTCCAGCCATCCTATTTCAAATCTCCTGCATGGCGCTGTGGCAATGAAACATTCTCCAGCTCTGTGGCACCAGCTTGGTTTGCTAGATGGCAGTGGCTACTTTATGTGTTTCGATTGTCTGAAAGCAGACATTAAAAAAAAAAGTCATACCTATAGACAAATTTAAGAGAGACAATCCCTTCATGAATGCTGGCTTTCAAATTGGCTTTAAGCCACTGAATGTTTTTTTTTATTGTGAAGTTTAAGTAATAGCGCATATATACACCCGAGAACTGATTAATGTGATTAAGGATGTCTGTGTATTACAGACCCTGGTTGCGTGCACTGAAGTGTATATGACAATAAAGTAGTGAATCTGAATCTATTTATTTATTTTTATGTGTTGTATTTTAAATAGGCTTATAGGCTCATAGGTCTTTTGTCAAAAAAATAAAAATAAAAAAATAAAAAATACCCTGATCAAAATTATTTCCAGCGGCCCTGGGCCCCAAGAATGAGCAGGGTCTGTATCCTCCTCCTTCTTATGTTTCTCGCTGATGATAGGTACCTGTGTCTGCTTATCAACTGGTAACTTTGTGATCAAAGTTGGTGGGGACACTCTAAGGGTGGTGGCTGTTGGAGTTACAGTTACAAGGCCTAAATTAGGTATTTGTATTTTTCATGAATACCCAACCATATTTATATTGAAGGCTTTCATATTGTTTCAAACACAAGAGAGATAGTTAGAAACCTTTTAACACATAATTTATAAAGGGCAAAATTAATTCAATCTATCTATCTATGTCTAATCTATCATATCTAATGTCTATATATTTATGTATGTATATTAAGCTTATGATGCTGGTGGATGGATGGATGGATTGAGGGACGGGCGATTTCCCTTTAAGCTGCATCAGTGAATATCAAAAAAGATTAATGATCTGTTTTTATTCTGATGTTTGAGCTTAAATTTGTGTATGTATCCTACGTTTCAGTTTTAAGTCTGTCACACCTGTGAGTCTGACTCTGCATCTGCCGCTTGGCTGCCTGACACGGCTATTTTTGAGTCTGAATTAGGCTAAATTACAAAAGAAAAAAATATATGCTACTGTTTAAAAAAGGTATAGTGTTTTTTTTTTCTTGTACACTTTCTGGTAAACTTGGAGATATATATTATTGCAGGTTGCGTACCCAGTAAATCTGTTTCACCTTTAAATCTGCAGCTGTGCCTACTTGTGTCTCTGTTCTCTGCTTAAAAGGAGCTTTATGAACTTGTCTACTAATATAATGATGCCAAAAAAAACTGATTTTCAAGATATCTAGAAGCTCTGCAGTCTGATTATGTCATTTCAATACGAAAACGGGAGATATGTGTTCATTCTCTAATCTGTAACTGTGAGTCATGGTCCTCTATGAAGCCAAGCTTTTTTTAAGTAGTAAATAAGAAGATAACCTTTAAACTCTATGATTTGTTGAACTTATTGCACCATAATACTAACTTGTATAAAATTACACTCTGTTGCCATTTTTCTATGCTAAAAAAGCTCTGTATGTCTAACAAACAGATTTTTCAGTCACATCTCTATTTTTTTATTAACCAACCAATCTCCTAATTTTTACTTAAACATCCATCAATGTAGCTGCTGGTTAAAATTCACTGAGTGCTACTGGTTTGTTGTCTGTCCTCCAACCACATAGCTACTATTTACGCAGTGAATAGCAACTGCAAATAGTATTATGTCTGAACATGACTGTTACAACGATAGGCGGGACTCGAGAGCAGCGGGAGAGATAGAATAAAACAGAAACTGAAAACGCTCTGAAAACAGAGCAGCAGGCCAAAGCTGGTGGAGACATGTCCACACCAGTACCTTCAGAAAGCTATGCCTGTGGCGCTCATGGTTCTCTAAATGTGGGGTTGGAGCTGTTCCATTCGTGGTGCCTGGCGGGCAGGGCCTAAACCTCCTGGCCCTGTGAAGTCCCCACTTGGGGGTTGTGCGTTCCCAGATCTTGGACCCAGGGGTCTCATCTGGATCCACCTTGGGTGTGAGCAGCCACAGGGAGAGCCCCTGGGCTCGCTGCCTTGGCCCCTTAGGATCTGTGCACTATGGCCTCTGGGGTTGAGCACCTCAGGGTTTGGGCCGCTTTGGGGTTTGAACCCTTTGGGGGT